ACCGTGCCCGTGATAGTAGGGGATGGTGCGCACAAGGCCAGGTTGAAGATGGAGTTCATGGTTGTGAGCATCAGCTGCGCGCACAACATGATCCTAGGACGGCCCGGCCTTGAGGACTTGGAATGTGTGATCTCCCCATACTACTTGTGCATGAAGTTCCCCACTCCTTCGGGAATCGGGGTGGCGAGGGGAGACCAAAGGTTAGCTCGGTCATGCTATGTCCCAATCACAAAGAAGTTGCCAAGGGATGAGACATTGGTCGTGCACGCACTAGAAGAAATGCGGAAGCTGGAAGCACGGCCGAAGGCCGAGCCCGCTGAGGAGGTCGAGGAAGTGCCGCTCGACCCTCGAGCACCCGAGCGGAAGGTGAAGGTCGAGGTGAGCCTAACCGGGAGCCAGCGGAGGCGCTTAGTGGACGTGCTCTTCGCCTACCGCGTGATCTTTGCATGGGGACCCGGGGATATGCCGGGGGTAGACCCCAAGGTCATATGTCACTGCTTGGCAGTTAACTTGGAGGCTAGGCCGGTGAAGCAGAAGAAGCGGTTCCTCTCATCCGAGCGGAGGGAGTTTGTTTCCAAGGAGGTGGCCACCCTCCAGAGCATTGGGCATATCAGAGAGGTTAAGTACCCGGAGTGGATAGCCAACGTGGTGCTGGCACCCAAGGGAAACACTTGGAGGATGTGCGTGGACTACACCGATCTAAACAAGGCCTGCCCTATGGATCCGTTCCCACTCCCGAACATCGACCAGCTGGTGGACGAAACGGCGAGCTGCGAGCTCATGAGTTTCATGGACGCCTTCAGCGGGTACCACCAAATCCGGATGCACCCCGAGGACGAAGAGAAGACATCTTTCACTACCCCTGGCGGAGTATATTGTTATAAGGTGATGCCTTTCGGGCTCAAGAACGCCGGGGCGACCTACGCTAGGATGGTGAGCAAGCACTTTGCACCCGTCCTCGGGAAGAGCATGGAAGCGTACGTCGATGACATGATTGTGAAGAGCAAGCAGGCGACCACCCATGCGGAAGACTTAGAAGGAGTTTTCGAGATTATGGAGAAGTATAACCTTCGGCTGAACCCGAAGAAGTGCACGTTCGGGGTTCAGGGTGGCAAATTCTTGGGACATATGGTGAGTAGGCGTGGTATTGAGCCCAACCCCGAGAAGGTGCGCGCTATCCTTGACATGGAAGCTCCACGAAATGTCAAGGAGGTGCAGCGCTTGACCGGAAAGTTGGCTGCGCTCAGCCGCTTCCTTTCCAAGGTGGCGAACCGAGCCGCTCCGTTCTTCCAAGCGGTGAAGAAGTCCCGAGGGTTCGTGTGGACGGAAGAATGCAAACAATCCTTTGAATCCCTCAAGTCCTTCCTCCTCTCTCCTCCGGTGCTCGCGAAACCCGAAGCGGGGGAGACCTTGTACTTATACTTGGGAGTTTCACCCAAAGCTTTGAGCTCGGTCCTAGTCCGAGACGAGGGTGGAGCTCAGCACCCGGTGCATTATACGGCGAAGACGCTGAGGGGTGCCGAGCTCAGATACTCAGTAGCCGAAAAGACAGTCCTCGCCGTGGTTTCAACCGTGCAGCGTCTAACACCCTACTTCCAAGCTCACCCGGTTCAAGTGCTCTCCCAACAGCCCATTGGCGCGCTGCTTAGGAGCCCGAACGCGGCCTCGCGCATGTCCAAGTGGGCGGTGTTCCTTGGAGCTTTCCAGATCGAATCCAAGCCAAGGCCAGCGATCAAGGGCCAAGCGCTAGCTGATTTCGTGGTGGAGTGCACCGCTCGGGAGGAGCCGAGCCCGGAAGAGCCGGAAGCCGAGGACTGGTGGAAAGTTTTTACCGACGGCTCCTCCGCCGCCAAAAACTCGGGGGGTGGAGTGGTAGTCATCGCTCCTGAAGGCTTCAGAGCATACTACTCAATTCGATTCGGTTTCAAGGCATCAAACAATGAAGCGGAATATGAAGCGCTCCTGTGCGGACTACGCCTAGCAGCCGGGATGAACGTAACAAAGCTAAGGATAAAGTGTGATTCAAAGCTGGTGGTTGACCACGTCT